GGAGAAATAGAAGAATTTTCGGGAAATTCAAAATTTTTGGGAAATCGCGGAAAAAGTAGTAGAAAGTTGGGGAAACCTGGGAGAGCGGTAGGCAAGATGAAAGGAGGCGTATTTTCCTCGCGACCTTTCCCGTGTCGAGTGCACAATATATCCTTCCCACTTGACAGCTCAATCAGGGGAGGGAAGTAGGGGGGTCGTATCAAGCCACTTCTTAGAGGGGTGGGGAGTTGTACAGAGTCGACCAATATCCCCAACAAAGTAGCAAGTACTCTGTTCTCGTCACCTACCAATAATGTTCGTACCTTACCGTACATAACATCGTAAACTGGGGATCCCTGCGAGGGGGAGGGGGGGGCATGTCTGATCGGTGGAGAGACTGGACAGTATTTCCTTCTGAGAGAAGCGCTTCTTTGCTTACTTCTCTTGGTTTCCCCGTTCCTTTGACGCTAGCCACTTCCTCGTGCTCCTCCTTCAAGAATAGTTTTTGGTAGAAAACTCAAGCAGTTCTCGGGAAAAAAGACAGCAGTTTCGAGAGGATCAAGGAAGATTAATTAGGCAAGGGGGCAGATGGAGTTTGGAACAAGGGGGGAAGTTCTGAAGGAGGGACTGAACTTTGCAAATTTTCTCCCCATGGCATGATTTGTCCTGATCACTAACCATGGTTTTAAATGTACCACAAACCCATTCACGACCAAGCGGAGAACTTGAACATCAGCTCTTCACAAATGTTTCCGGTCAGACACACTTTCAGACCAAAGCCCGAAGGAGTTAGACAAAGCAAGTCCGCGCTAATCGCATGGGCGGAAAAAGACAACCGAGCAACTGCTTAATCGATGTGAAAATTCTTCCTTGCGATATTGGAAGCAGGGCATAATTAGGTATTCCCCAACGCAGGCGTAGAAATTTTTGACAGACCAAAAATTCCTTTGTTAAATTTACGCGTTTCGCGAGCCCGCAATCTGAAAACGGTTAGCAGTCTCCGCCCACACGACCAGTGTGGACAGTGCCGTCGTTCTTTTTTCATCCGACATACATTACAAAATATGACGCTCAACAAGACTATTTTTTGCGAGCTCAATTATTCATTGGAAGCAAATTACCTGTTCTTTCTTATGAACTCCGAGTGTCCCAAATGGCAACGGTTTACCGGTTGACTTGTCCACGAGAAGAACCTGTAAAAGAAAGACATTAAAAAAAAAACATGTTGTCGCACACACTGTACGTTACATCATAGAATGTGAATCGGCGATCACCAAATTCAGCCGTGCCGCGTCGGCTTGGAAGGAAGGGGTGGGCATTTTTGCCCTTCTGGTCCATCCGTCGTGTACGAGCCATCAAATACAGATTTGCGATACTAATTTTCACTTTGCAAAGGTTACCTGACTACTTCTGCAGACAACGAACACGACGAAGAGAAGCAGCGAAACTGCAAAATGCCAATCCCCTCCCATCCAAGAAGCTAAAAGGCGCCCAAATTTGAAACGTCTGCAAACGTAAAGATACCTCGGCGTCAATAATCAGGTCCAATCCAGCGGGGAACGCTTTTGGAATGACTTTCTCGAAATGCGAGATCTTAAAAGGAAAGTCTGAACACTCAGTAATCACAAAAAAACAACAACAACAACAACAACAACAACAACAACAAAAAACAAGGAAACTTCACTGTACCTTATGGTGCTGTACGGGTTTGAGGCTTCGTGAGTAAAACGAGAATGAAGTACCAGTTTTATGAACCTGGAAAGAACTCTTATGAAAAGCATGAACCAGAAAGTTGAGGGGGGGGGACGTTAACTGCAGGTTGCGGCTACTCGTGGAAACTAGCACGATGTTTCCATTTAGTCAATGTGTCACATTACACCCGTGCCGTGTGGCCGTGTGAACCATGTTCTGGTGCGATTATCGCGCTCGTGACCCCACACCTTCGCTACCCTCCAGAAAAGCAAGAGTGATGTCCCTTTGAGAAAATCAATAGTTGCCTCTACGTAAGCCGTTTCAGGCTTTTATCTGATCATTCGTCAGGCCATGCGGCGATAGGCGTGACTTGGCCAAGGTGGGCGGAGCACACGCTGAGATCCCAGTTCCGTTTCGGCCTATAGGTCAGAATAGAGACGAGGTCAAGAATTGACAAACATCAAATTCTAAATTCTTTGCAATGATCCGCCATCACTATCGATTGCATTTATCAGATTAGCATAGAAAGCCAGAAATGAGCAATGCATCGCTCATTCACTCAAATGCATTCACAGAACTTGAACATCAGTGGCTCAGGAGCCTTCCTTCAAGAGGCAGGGAGTCCCGTATACATCAGAACTATCGGATTTTGTCCAAAACCCCGGGAACGGGTTGGAGGTCGAAATGAGTGTGGTTCGTGGGATTAGCCGCGTCTGTTTCGACTCCTTCCCGGCCTGAGGAGAAATCGAACTGGAGAGCCTAGCTATACCTGAACTTTCACGACTACTGCAGTTTGTATTGCCGCGCAGCGCTTCAGCACGCGTGTGAGCCGTGCTGTTTGAGCATGACTTTCAGGAAGGCCAAAAATATACCTGCACTCTTTCTCCATCGTATTTGATCTCAGCAAACATCCCGTTTACACATCTTTTCATTGCTTGTTGAACCGATTTGCATGGCTCCGCCTAAAATAAATGAGTGAAGCTTGGATCCCTGAGAAACAAAGGAATTCTTTCGGGTTCACAAGGGAACGCTGGGTTGTCCCGCGCTGAACAAAAGCTAGGCAAGACATGATGATGAGGAACTGCTGATCAAGGGTGGGTAGCTATTCCTACTTGGGCCCTCAAGAGGCCTCTCCACAGAACATACACTGCATTTTTCAAGAAAAAAAAGAAAGGATTCTCATTCTAGCAGGAAAATCCCCGAAAAGGAAACTAACGCAGAGTGAGAAGACCGAAATCTTGAACGCATGAGACCAGCTTACAATTCAAAACCCTTGCAGGGCCCCTTCTGTTAGGAAACCTAATTGGCAAAACGGCAAGAAGAAAAAGAAAAAAAAACTGACCAGCATAGGTAACACACTGGCGTTCCAAGGCGAATTCCAACTTCCATTGAGACCGCAACATTCCCAAGTTGACGCTTCTTATACCTTAACATTCACCGATGAATCAATCCAAAATATGATGTTTTACCATCATGAGACAGAACACGCTTATTATGTGGGCGGGGTCAGATCTACTACTCAGCCTTCCTTGTTGGCGCAGAAATGGAGAGGGAGAGCTGGGAATATTGCAAAGTGATACGCGTTTCCGCGACCATACACAACTGTGGACTACGCCTTTATCTACTTTCCGAGAATGGGGAGTACAAGTCAGAAAAAAAACTGAAAAAAATGATCAGATCACCTCCTATCGCTGGTGGAAATGCTTCTAAAATACACCACCTCCCCCTACTTCCTCTTCTTATCTAGTACGAACCCCTTGTCCATGCCACCTAACCTCTTCCAAACTTTCCATAATTTCTTACCACTTTTTCCCCACTTTTTCGTGATTTACGAGAGATCCCCCACTCAAAAAACCGAAAAACTATCATTGGAAGGAAAAGAGAATAGGCGGGAAAAATGTGTGGGAGACCGACATAACTGCTAATTTCAGCTATTGAAAACAGCATATACCATTTTCACTTTAAATTCACCCTTTTTCAAACCAAATTCACCCTTTTTCAAACCAAATTCACCCTCACTTTTCATCAAATTAACCACACTTATTAGGGCGGGCAACTCATCAACCAGATCACGCCAGACATCACTGCGAGCCCCGCCCCGGCCACGGCCACGCCCACTTGTCAGCGCGGACATAGATTCTCAAACCTTGTTTCATAACTTCTGCTTTTACTGTTTCCCACAAACACTTTGACTGGGCACGGCATTGAACATGTGACTCCGCCCATTTCTCTAAAGATTGCCGCCTAACCATAGAGCTTACCACGCCCCTCTCGCTTTTCGCTACCTCGCATATTTTTCAAAAATTTGCTATTTTAGCCATCTGTTTGCGAAAGCCCCGCATTGTGGGAAAACTCCCCACTTTAGAAAGCCCCGCTAGGGATTTTCGCTCGCCCTCGATCAGAATATCCGGCAAAGTTTATTCCATATGATCAGCAATCCCCCCAGCAGCGAAGCAAGCTCTATACTGTCGATGTTCCACCACTTTCGAAAAGTTGCTCTCCATGGGCGGAGCTTCCCACTAGTGTCGTGGCTTCACGAGCCCAGCCCCCTAAAAATGCAAAAGTTTGAAAAAATATTGAAGTTCGAACGAAAAGCACAGTGGCGGGGCACCCTAGATTGCCAACTCTTTACGAGAATGGCGATGTCGCATGTGTCAATTTCCAGCCAAATGGTTGTATGGAAACAGCAAAAAGCATAAGTAAGTTATTAAACAAGAATTTAAATTCTAGGCACAGCAGCTACAATTAGCTGCCGTGGGGGGGGAGGGCTCGCAGTGGTGTCTGCATTAAATCGGTGGTAGTGCCCCGCCGATAATTGTGTTAATTATTGAAGTGATGGATTTATTAAAAAGCTAATTGGTTTGAAAAGGGTGAACTCAAAGTGAAAATGGTATATATAGGATACTGATGGCACCGCCAACTAGGCTAACTAGGGATACGGGGACTTCCTGTCAAGTACGACCTTCTTTAAAAAATAAAGAAAATACTTCCAACACCCCCCCCCCTAACGAGAGCGTCTCAGCATTTCGTGACAGCACCGTGGACAGGAAAATTCTAATCACGAAGATTTCACGTCTAGTACCGACCGCCCTTAATCGCCACGACTAAATACCGACCTCCCTAGGGGCTCCCTAGCGTGCAACGTTAGTCGCTGGAAATGATGAGCAATTTAAGCAATACCCCCATAAACACGAAACCACACCTTTCGACAATTTCCGTCTAATTCACTGCAACTTTAAAAGCTTCATAAGCTATGCCATGAAACATCCAGTATTGTGCTTTACAAACCTCGTTGATAAGCCGAAGATCCTCAATTACAGACAGCAAATATATATTTTACTTCAATGAGATAACTGAAAAGTATCCATTTTCAGGTAAAAATTTTACTAAAACAAACTTCTTCTTAATGTGAGGATATTTTTTTTATTTTATCTTCAAATTCACATATAACATAAGCCGTAAGGTAAACAGCTGATCGGAGTGACGAGACAGGAGAATCAACATTCAAGGAAAATTGGCGTTTCGAGCTTGAAGCCTAAGGTCCGGGCTGGATGCCGCCTGAGGCCACGACTTTTGCCCATATCTCAAATCTCTTGTGATAAACAGAGGATGATTTCCGTGAAAACACTTTAAAGGCACATTTGCACTTACTCAAGAGGTGGTGCTGTCTCAGTGCATGAGGAGCGCAGGTCCATAACCGCGCAGGATGCGCCCCCTTCGTCACTCCCAACTGCGTGCTGAGAGCCATAGGGGTACTCGGAAATCAAAAACTCCGCTCACACCAAGTAAAGGCGCCCATGAACGTACGACGTACATAGTGGGCGGCGTTGCGACAGACTTCCCTGCCCTTGTGTGTAAGGCTCTCACCAGCGCTCGTCTGGTCTCTCGCTGAGCTTTCTCATGCCTGTTCATATTCAGCGCACACTCCACTAATGCTGGAAATAGACACGGGCTTTGTTTGCGGCAATTTCGCTAGCTTTTTACGGTATTTTCTCCACTATTAAACATTATCAAAATCGTATTACGAGTCCACTACCCACGACTGACCATCTCCGAAAGTACAGCTTTTTGATGCAAAACAAACCTTTTAGCAGCGAACTTCAGATGATTGATCTGTTCGTCATCCTTTGTAAACTCCGTGAGTTTAGTCAGCCAACGGTCCACCTTAATTTCAACAAGTAAACCTTAGTAGAGCTCTGGGGACCTTCAGAGACTTGGAGAAATCATACTCTTCACAAAACAGCAAAAATAGTCCAAATTTGTGGTTGAACTTAAAAGCATTGTTGGTTGAACTTAAAAGTGCAGCCAACCATTGGGCACGGCCAGGTTTGTCATTGCATATTCCCTATTGGTGCACCTCCATCCCCATCTCAGGAAAACGCGGCCCACTGATAAGGGAGGCACAACTATAGGTCTCATTCCGCCTCTAGGTCAATATGGACATGTTCTAAAAGTCTTACTTTTTGGATGCTCCAATTTCCTTTATTCGTTCTGCTCAAATTATTTTTCTCGATTGCGTCACGGATGGTTTTTGAAACATCTCCTCCAATTTTGTATGAATCCAAAAGTTCCTCCGCCGGTAAGTCGTATATCTGTAAGTAACTGAGTAAAAGTACAAAAAAAAGTAGCTGATTCCCAGTAAAAGTGAATCTCTCAGCGACTGCCATCACAGAGCGACAGGAGGGGAGAGGGGGGGTGATTTCATTCCTTATCCCAATATTCAATTGTTAAGACACATCAACCATACAAGACTATGCCGAGCGGTTCAAAAACTCGAGAGTTCACCTCCTTGGAAAATTTCATTTCTGTTGTTCAACAGATTTCATGATGGTTTCAATGATCAATGCCACGAAGCAGAGGCGACGGCGGCAAGTGGCGCAGTTTCGCCTCGAGGAGGCAATTCACTGTTTCTTTTCGATCAATTCGGATGCCTCCTGTGGAAACCAGTTAATTCCTGCAAAGCTGCAGCAAGTTTTTCGTTACACTAACCAGGAGTTAACAGGTCTTATCAAGATGAAGCGTTTGAGTTAACAAAAACTGGTGAAAGTGCTAAATGCCCCTCCTAAGCACTTCAAGGTTTCCGATGTATGATCACTGCTGCGGAGTAGAAGTGATACAGGGCAAGTGGCTATCACAACAACGCCATCCAGATCAAATACCTGTACTTCCTGTACTTACCTTCACAACCACAACAAAGAGAACCCAACTAAAGCACAGGGCAATCCCTAATAATGGGCTTGAAGAAAGAATAAATTTCACTCACAGTAGCAAAATGCTTGATGATTTGCTTCTCCTTGATGTTATAGACCCTTTGATCGACACCAGGAATCAGAAGTCGAACCAAAGTCAATATGTCCCCGTCGAAATCATCTATAAGTAACCAGGAGCTTTATACATGAAAAGAGAAAATGCTTGAAAAGGAAATGGCAAAAGCGGTGACCGACCTCTAGAAATGAACATTTTCACTGCTGACGACTTATCTGTGTACTTCGATACAGAAGCTATGACTTCGCAAAGTTTCGTGAACTAAACCATGTTGAATTACAATAAATACTCTTGTGCTGAAGTAGTCGGGGAGTAATCGGTCACGATATTTGGCCCCTCTTTGTTCGGATATGCGCCCTTTCAACGAGATAAAGTAGGGCAAGAGCGCGCTGATACTTCACGATCCGATCGCGCGTTCCGAGCGGACGGAGCATGAAGTATGAACGCGCCTCAAGTGGGCTAGTGCAGTAAGGATGCAGACGAGTAAAAGAGAGGCATGGTCTGGCCTCGACTAACAAAAAAAAACCTAAAAGAAACCTTAGCGCCGGAACTGTTGGGGTTCTCATACCTTGTGGAATGAATTGTATTTAGACTCCTCATTAGCCTCTTCATTCGCTGCTCCATTGCTTTCATTCTTCGATCCCTTCTTCTTTTGTACCGAAGTATCTTTGCTGCCTTTCTTTGACGAGCTGGGAGCCTGACACGAACATAAAGCTGCGAATAAGGGTGCTAACGTATTTGGGGGGGGGGGCACGCGGCTCGCGGCGAGTGATGACTCATCGACTCTTCTGCTTCCTCCTCGGCAAAATAGAAGTAACCTCATGTTTAAGACATGGATATAACACCGTCCTAGCTATATTTGAAAGCTTAAGCAGTTAACGCTGAAAAGTGCGAAGAAACAGTTGTAGGATGGAAGATTTTGCCTAAACTACCAACGATTGTTGCCTTTTTGATGTTGACCGTTATTCTTGACTACAAGATCAAACATTTGTTGTTCTCAGCTTCTGTGGGATTTCTCAGCAAGTATTCGGTGAATCTTGTTTGTTTTATTCTAATTTTGCTGCTAGATTAGCGCTCTAAGTATGTCAATGAGTGAAGAGCCGATGAGTCATCACTCGCCGCGAGCCGCGTGCCCCCCCCCCAAATACGTTAGCACCTCACAATAAGAATGCAATAGATATGTGCCATACACGCATCCAAACAAAACCAAAAAATTATCAGAGTGCTGGAAACCAATTGAAGAACGCCGATTATTTTTCGCCAGCAGCTGGAGGCGGTTTTGAATTTCCCGCGCGCGCAATTTTGAACTCAGCTGATTTTCATCCAGAACGGTAGTAAACTTCACTTCAGAACTGTTACGTACTCTTACTCATCCTAGAAGCGGATAGTAAGAGTACTAAAGTTTATAGGTATGATAATGATGATTTCTAAGCGCTAGAAAAAAAAGCAGTGCAAGTATCCTAAAATTGATTTTCATCTAATCGTAAGATGATTCGAAACCAGTGTGAAATAGAATGTTGGCACACCAAACGTCCTGGAAGGAACTAGAATAGCGATATGTACGGAGTTCAATTTTGTCGTAGAAGATTTTCCCAGAGTTGTGTAGACGTGTTCTACGCGGTATACTAAGAAAAGATGCATAAAAACGCACAGAATTGAGGCTGATTGTGTTGCTAGAGTGTAAATGTGCCTCCCCCTCGGCCGAGCCTGTTACATTGGTTCCAGAAGTGGAAGGGAATGACATATAGGCGAATAAAGGCGGTGGAAAGAATATTATTACGAGTGGTTGACTCTCCAGGATGCTGGTATCTCGCTGTAGGAAGAATGGCGAGCCTGATCATATCTAAGACAGCCTGAAAAGCGACTCTGTGGAGGTCGCAGACGTGGCATCAACCGGGAGCTGAAGGTCTTTTCATATGGGGGGGGGGGGGGGGGCGTAAATTGCTTTGTAAGAACCAACAACTGAAACTAGGATCATCTGAATTGAGTCACTTTGCTGTAGTGCGACTATCCATTAAATTAGGCGCAGTGCTCCAAGTATCTCTAGTAAATGCCAAAGAACTCTGCAGCAAAACGTTTCATATTTTACGCGAAGTTCTGAGTTAGAAGAACGTCATTATTTATTGGCCTAGCCAGTGTCATTGATATCAGAGAGTATCGGAGGTACGTATAAATAACGACTGCTGAAGGGTTGAGAAGTTCCTCGTGGCGAAAAAACCAACGTAGAATTCAGTCAAACTTCTGGGACAGCCTCTATTGTCCCTTCCAGGAGTCCCATAGGCTTCGCCAATGCGAGCCTTCGATAAAAGTCGATCTTAGACCAGTTTGCGCCGGCTAAAAACCGCCTCCCCCCGGCCCCCCCCCCGCGCCTGCCTTCGAATATCGGCCCGGCTGCGCGGGCGGCGCGGTTGGCGCCGCGTATTTCTTTCCACATATTTCTACACTCAACTGATATCCGCCTTTTGTTCTGTACTCCACTTTTTTCCGGTGTCTGAAGTACTCTTGAGCTACTTTACAGATTCTTCGTCTGACTCCGCCCACCTCGGAGCAGGCTCCGCCCACAATGTTTGTGCCCTACAATCTTCACCGGCGACCCTCTGCTGACCTCAATCCACTTTTTTCCGGTGTCTGAAGTGTTCTGGAACCGTTCTACAGAATTTTTGTCTGGCTCCGCCCACCTCGAAGCAGGCTCCGCCCCCAATTTTTGTGCCCCACAATCCTCACCGGCGACCCTCTGCTGACCTTAATCCACGTTTTCTTTTCGGTCTTTGAAGTGCTCTGGGACAGTTTTAGAGAATTTTCGTCTGGCTCCGCCCACCTCGGGCTGGCCCCGCCCACATATGTATACCCCACATTTCTCAATCGGCGACCCCATGCTGACCTGAATTCACTTTATTCCGGTCTTCGGAGTGCTCTGGAACCGTTTCACAGTTTTTCGTCTGACTCCGCCCACCTCGGGCTGGCTCCGCCCCCAATTTTTGTGCCCCACAATCCTTCACCGGCGACCCTCTGCTGACCTTAATCCACTGTTTTCCGGTCTTCGGAGTGCTCTGGAACTGTTTTACAGAATTTTCGTCCTGTACCCGCCACCTCCAAGAGCATACCCCCGCCCACAATGTTTTTGCCCCAATCCTCACCGGCGACCCTCTGCTGACCTTAGTCCACTTTTTCCGGTGTCTGGAGTGTTCTGGAACCGAGCTACAAACTTTTAAATGAATACCCTGCGATTTAGGGCAAGCTCCGCCCACTGTGGGCGGGTCTCAACACACTTTGAGCGCCCTATATTTCAGCTATTACATCTACACTGAGTTTTTGCGACTTCCAAACACTCTCGCGAACAGGGTTACTGAATTTTGCGAGAAGCACCGCCCACCATGAGTACGCCCCGCCCATTTTGGACGTGTCTGCCACAGTTAGTCTGGCGACTCCTTACTAACCTTATTCCCTTTTTCCCCCATCTTTAGGCTGCTCCGGAAGCGAATTATGAACATTTTTCTGCGGAACCAAACTTTCGGCGAGTGCCCCGCGGGCTTCCCATAGTCAAGTGTGCTTTTTATTTCTTGTCCCATGCCCTACCCATCCCCACCTTGACCCGACCTCTCCAAGTCGTTCTTCAGGTCGAACCGAATTTCCGGACAGACAAACTTACAAACAAACAAACAACAAACAGACGAAGCGAATTATATATATGGGGTGATACCTCGCTTCATATTCTAAGTCCCTAAAATCTACCTACCATGCTGCAAAATCACTTACAGGATAGTCTATCTAGACATTCTAGACAGCTTTCGTTCTAGACAAACATCAATTCAGTAATACCATAATGCAATGATTCATCCATACTTTGATTACTAGAAGTCTATTAAGCTGGATGGTTTCTTCGAATCATGCTCGAATGCCACATCGCGCCAATGACAATCAGGTTACGGTATCTCATTGCACACAGTGTGCCCGAGTTCGAAATTGGCGCGCGCGGGAAATTCAAATCAGGCTGCTTACAGTACCCCGAAAATTGCGCGCGGAGTTGGAAAATGGCCGCTTGCGAGCGCACAAGCGGCTATTATCCGGACCGGTTGTTTACCAGATTTGAATAGGGTTTCAATCGACACATGGTCTCCGTGCTCAGCTTACAGTACTCCACGCAACGAACGTTGATGGCCAACCAGCCCGTTGTGAGCATTTACGACCAACACAATTAGTCTCACGCGCAATTTTCGGGGGTACTGTATGCACCCTGACAACCTGGTTTTATAATTCAATCTCGTACTCAACCCACAAAACTACTTTAGCCAATCAGCCGGCCGTTGGAGACGGACAAGACAACCGTCTCTTCAATGCAGCGTTCAGACCTCGAGATGGCCGCGCCGGCGAAGCCTGAACGCTGCCTAACCCTTTGCTAGTCACCGCAGCGGTCCGAATTGGCGTGGTTGCAGCCTATCAAGAAAGCTCGGGTGAAAAGAACAGAAAATAGCGATGTGAATTGGGAAGTGACCATTCATTTTTCTACATCTCGTTACAAAAAAACTCCCTTTCCACATTGGCCCTTTTCACAAACGCTAAACACCAGAAAACAGGAAGCCTGACGCGGCTTGACCAATCTGACTGACATATAGTGTGACCTACCTTTCCACTATCCTCCGCTTTCTTTTTCGGCGTTCCTTTCACTGCGCCACCTTCTTTTTTAGCGCGCACTTTATTCAAGTCATCGATCAACTTCAATATTGGCTCCTTGTCCTCGTCTTTCACATCGTCCCACCCTAGAAAATATATATGAAACCTGTGCAAAATACAAAATCGGCAAATAAACACGGCGGTTCATTTGTCGGCGGACGGACAAAAAGGTAAAGGGGGACGGGGCATTTCATTTAGCTTACTTTCCTATAAACCGTGTTGCGAAACAGTCTATGAGAGTTAGCTTCATGACAGATTACATAAACTGACGAATCAGCGCTACTTCGAGCTCACAGAATGCAGGTCATGAGCGGCTAGGTAAAACTGAAGACTATAGACAGAAGCGTGGCGAAACAGCGAAATGCTCCCCCCCCCCGCACATCGCCGAACTGCGGCCTAATAACTAGTCTATACCTTCGAATTCTTCCCGGCCCTCAATGACCTTTGTATTGGCACGCCGCCTTGAAGAACATTTCAAATAAACAGTGAGGATGATGGTAGATTTTCATATCCGGTGGAGGTCCATCTTCCCGCTGTATAAATGGATTCGGCGTGATCTTTGCTAGACGGACTTCCTAGAAATGAAAATGTAAATAGGAGCGCTATCAGTACAAGAAAGATAATTACATGTGGGAGAAAGTACAGAACAAAAAAAAGTTCGTTTACCAGATGGCTTCCAAGCAGAGTTTCAGCACGAAAGGGACGAACCCGACGGCATGCGTATCGAGACAGCGGTCACATTACACGCTGCTTCAGACGTTTGTCAGGAAGCAAGTGTATATCTATCCATTGTTGGCTAGAAGAGATCCGGCAACAAACAGCATGACAAGATGTGCCCTGCCTGGTAGATTCTCTATTCAGTCTCTGCCGTAGAGCCTCGCGAGCGTGCGATTTCGCTGTGGATGGATGTGCCTAGTGGGTTCGGGGATGGGGGCGGGGGCTGGGCTTGGCGCGCATCGCCAAGTCCCTTCCTTCATCAACTCTATTACCTGGTCTCTGTTGGTGAAAAACAGACTGAGCTGTTGCGAACACAATACCACTTATCGCCCCTAAGGTTCTGCTCAGCAAAACGCAAATTCTACCCAAAGATTACTCTGCAGAGACACCTGAAGCCCAAATCGAGGCGAACTGTTTCACAAAGGTACCTGCTATTTCTTCAACAGCCTTTCCCAGATGTCTTTAGAAGCGCCCGCAGGCTCGTGTCCCGCAAAGAGCGTTCAGAAAGCCCCGCAAGCTCCTGTCGCAAAGAGCTCTTCCCGCCCTACTCTCTCGAACTCTCTTGCAAGAACACTGACCTGAGCAGAGGAAAGCTGCAGTCCGCTCAAACCCATGCATAATGAAGGAACCAAATGTTCTGCTATGGAGGACGACTGTAGCAGGGTTTCGTCAACTGGTCCGAGACCACAATCCTCAAAATAAGAACTGTTCAGATCGATTATGACCCGTGGACGCCCAATGCGTCCAATTCATGCCTACTTCGTAGTACAACACCTAACCTGGGCCAGTTTCTGCAAGGAGCAGGGAGAAATCTGCGCTGCCTCAAACGCCGATGTCATCATTCTCGCTGCATCGTTCGGAAATATCTGAATTTGGACACTGTTCTGTTGAACTTTTTAGAAGTTTCCACTTTTCGTGAAGAGGCTTATCTCCCTGGACACTGCATTTCAGGCGATACAACTCACTTGTAAAGTCAGGTGATTGCAAGAGAGGGACAGCGGTCAAAGGGCACACATGGTATCGAAGCCACGAGCGGTCAAGCACAGATCCGCTCCACAATCTATCGAGGGATTAATTGGATCGGACTTTGTGCTCGGGAGTTCGGGTTAGTCCGAGACCAGTGAGTACCGCAGAATTCTGTACGGCTGTCCTCGGCACACTATTATTAACTTGGCACGAATAACTGCAGTAATGTCCAGTTTTAGCACACCAGCCTGTGTGGAGCTGATATACAGAAACAGCGGATTTAATGGACAATTCGTCATGTATACAAGCAAATGTAAGCAAGCGAAAATGACCACGAACCCGTGCATCGAAATTCACAAGAAAAGCCTTTTTTGACCAGATGTACTGTTCGCTCGCTCTGGAAGCTTTAAATGGTAAGAAGGGACATTTTCGAGCTAGATTTGAGAATGAAAAGTGAAATAAAACTCAGATATACGTATGAAAGAACAAGGCTACCCCTTCTCGGCAGTGCAATTGCATTTTTACAGCTGGCACTTCTTCGATAGTCGATGCGCGAAAACGAGTGGATAGACGGTGCGGACATCTTTGTCGCAACTAAACTGAAAACCAAGTAGGGGCTTACAACCGTAAGGGGGCATTCAAAGAAAACTGGGCACGAAACCTAATTACTGTCATCTGAATAGACGGGCAAGGAGGCCGTCGGTACTGCGGTAAAGGAGGGACGTATCCAGGAGAGGCAGAGAGAGGGTGAGGTCTGGGATTTGGCGCGTTTTTTTTCGCCAACTATTGCTTCTTGCCCATTTCAAGAACTGGTGATGTTTGAGCCAGCCCGCGAACGACCTAGCCCCCTTCCTCCCTCCAAACACAGCCCAGCAACCAAAGAGAGCAGAACTGCACCTACCCTGCTCTCATTAGTGTCATGCAAAGACTTCATGCCTCATTTCAGAACTCTTGTTTTACCCGAGGATAGTTAAAGGCCGCCCTTCCCACCTTTTTAGTGCTAATCAGTTCAGCGTCGCGCAACACTCCAGTTCAGCTTCCACAATAATAACAGCGGATGATGTAAGACAGAAACCCAACAATGATCAATCGGAACGAAATATATCGATCAATACCCTTCAAAACGTAGGTGTCTCTATAAGAAAAACAAAAACAGAATATCCGCAGAAAGCAAATATCTCATGATAAAGGTCATACAATGATATTATAATCCCACAATATCTATGGGCGAACGGTGCAGTTAACATATTGTGCCAGCGCAGTTCGACTTGAAGGGAAGGGGGGGGGGAGGGGCGATTTCGCACTCCCGTGCTCTTTCCCATCGTGCTGTTTGAGGCGGCGAGCTAGAGATCAAGACAACCTCTGAGCCATTGAGGTGGTACCAGTCAGAGTTCGAACAGACTACTGGTCAACTCTCGCAAAGGATACCTGTCAGCACTAGGGAAAGCAATGAACACGACAATGAGTGCAAATGCTCCCCCCCCCCCCTCCAAGCACAACTGCATCACAATTATGCCTTCCAAAAGTGATGCGAAAATGTTTGCACATTCGCGTCACTTTGCAGAGCTGCACGTGCAGAGCGAACATCTGTTGAACCGCGGGCGGAGAAAAGCTATGCAAGGGAGAGTTTTAGGCACCGCACTATGAGGCCGAAAGTCTTTCCAGGGCTAAGAACACCTTGCGGGGGAAGGGGGAGAGGGAGGAGGCACACCTGTAAGCGCTTGTTAGCATACCAGATCCTGTAAAAGACATGTTAACACCGGATAACCTTTTCAACACAGCCGTGAGACTTGTTATGCTTGCTGTCAGGCGCACCTGTAAATTCTTGGCCCAAAAACTTGTTGTGAAAACTTTTTAACTAGGAAGTTAGCTTCAATATATCGACGTGTACCATTACAGCTGCAGGGCTCGACAAGAGTGTCGTACATGTTCCTTGGCAGGAATTTGCAGGCTTGAACGGCAAGACACGATTGTTCGGTATTCACATGTGAACACGACTTAACGAAGCTTGTATGCAAAGCGCTTCAAGGTCTGCCCATCCCCATGGTTATTGACGCCCTTTTTCGCTTCTTCAGATAGGTTCAAAATGCTGTCGATGACCAGAAATTTGTAAGAAAATAGGGGCATTTCAAGTAGAAAAAAGGCATTTTGTAAACTTTTGCCAAAACGCCAGACAATTTTATAAAGTCATGTACATACGTGGCCGCAAAACTGTACCACTTTTTTTCTGCACGGAGCTATTCCGATCTAGACTAACTGTCGGAAGGCGCGAAGAAAGTACTGGGAGCCAGAATGAGGATTCTTTCCCGAGCCCAGATAGGGACGCAGCGCAGGGGATGATGAGCCAGTTTCTTCGTAAGAAAAAATGATTTCCGCATTGTACGACTAGAACTTCAAATAGATAAAACAGAACGTCGGACGATTGACGTTGGTATCTCGTCAGGTGTTTCCTGGCCAGTAGCACAGTCAAAGGCGGCCCAGAACACACGATTTTACAAGACTGCCTTTCTCCCTCCCTCTGAAGCAGACGTGCGAAACATCATAATAAAAGCAAAACAACTGCTAAAGCTCAAAATACATTTACAGTGAGAGTGAATGCAATATAAAAGACCTAAAAAGATCCAAAAGAATCACAGGACTTCATAATCTTCAGAAAAAGGCGATAATGTAATGTACGGGGCATTTTGCTATTTCCTGTCACTACAAGAAAACATTTTGTAAAGTCCTAGTAAACCACTTTTCCCACAGCTTCTTGGCACAAATTTCGGCCTACCGCGGAGTTCCTACCTCCTATGATTAGGAAAAACTTCATCCCTGGCTCGCTTGCGGTTCCTAGCACCGTTCCTCATATTTTCTAGCTTTTTTTTGTTAATCAGATGCCATGGTCCCACAAAAAAAGCGAATTTTGCAAGAATTTCTAGGACTTCACACAATGGCCCAGTATTTTGACGGGAATAGAAAAAGAAGCTCCAACATGCTACACTAACGCTATAAAAAATAAAGTCAAGGCGACAGACGCCCCTCTGAAGAATACAGGATAGTTAGGAGGATTCAGCATGGTGTCAAATGAGCTTTAAATCAAAGCAAATCGAGCAATTGCGTTGCAGCAGCCGCTTGAGACGCGCACATGAAACGGCGACTTTTTGTACTGCGTGTTTTCGCGCGCTACGCTTTCGCCCACGACGCGTGCTAATGGGTGGCCCGCGCTGGTTTCCCTTTTCACACCATTTGAAAGTGGAGACAAAAGGGGGGGGGGTGTTTTTCTGGTTTGTTCCCTGTTTGCATTCAATTTCAGAAACAGCAAAAGGCCCAAGACCGCAATAGCGCACTTTTTTGGAGAGGTTGTCTATTTTCAGAAAGGAGCCATAAAATCCTTCTAACAGGGTGGGCATTTCACTGCAGAGCACTGAGCACGACTGAACAGATCTAAACTGATAAGCAACACTTTCTTTCATTACAAGGGTTTGGAAGAATTGATGCTGATCTCTATTGAGTAAACCATGCTGCACAAAGGATTCGGTGCTCTAAAACATTTCCGGCACTACTGAACTATTCCTGCCTCAAAATTGGAAGTTTTTTTTGTGAACCTTTGACTATAGGGGTGATTCGGAGTCCTGGTCACGATAATGACATTATTTTTCGGTGCTGGTACAATTTGGCTCATCACTTCTTTAACCAAAATCGATGAAAACTTGTATACGAGGGCCAATTTTACGGGGGTTAACTCGTATACGGGGGACTCCCTGATCACGAATATGGCAACCAATTTCAGCACTGGCGCTATTTGCCGGCACGCCCTGTTCTTCCAAAATCAATAAAAAACTTGCGTAATGTTGTGTGGTGCCCTGAGGCATTTTTTAAAAAACCACCGCCATTTAGCGCTCAGCTAATGCTGAACCTGGAAGAAGGATTGATTCCCTTTAGGGCTGGCTCAGCCTTAGCAAAGCGCAGATGGTCATTGATGAATGCCATATGCGTGTCAAATAAACCGCGCAAATAGATTCTCATGGAATTTGTTGATCGAGCGTATTTCGACGCTGGCACCTATGGCGCAGCAGTCAGTTTGGTGATATTTAAGGATGTGATATTTGTGCTCAGGAGGTCGAACCACCTCTGAGAACAAACTTTCAGCCATCCTCTTTCGAAAGAAAAGTTGGTAAACGAGTCTGATTTTCGAGGAATGGGGTAGAAATAATCACCCTGCCTTTATACTCCGTCTAATGTAAAGAAATGGCCAGAAGCGAAGCTCGTGAGATTTCAAAGCTTTGACAAAAACTTTGTGCAAAACAGGAACTACGGCAGTCCGATGAAACATTACAACAAAAGGCCGTTTTCATTGAAGTAGTGCGATCAAAGATAAGAATTGAAAAATGCAACTTTCTATAATTTCAGGACCATTATGTTTGAAGGGGGACATGTGACACCGCTAGAATGTTTACTATTTACTCCTCTGCCCACTTGCACGCTGTGCGCGAACGCTGGTCGTCAGCGCTCTTCCAAGCAGGGCTCACCATATGACGCACCACCGCACAAGGGAGAGGTAGAATTTGGCCGCTGCAGAGGGGTCGTAGTTTGCTACAAATTTTCTTTGACTGTTACGTTGCCCATCCCATTTTGAGCGGGCTCCGCGACAAAACTACTATTTCAGACACTTGACCGGGGCGTCTACTCCTCCACAAGTGGATATTCCCTCGCCAGGAGGGTTTCGTGGCATTTCCTCGCATTGCATCTTCTTATACTCGAAATCCCTGAGATCGGGTAGGCGTGGCCGCATGCTTCAACTTAACCTGAAGGTGTCTATGCTTCTGGTGAGATATTTTCATCTTGACACAATTGTTGTCGTGTCTCTGTCCAATACAGAACAAGATGACAGTTG